GCCTGGCATTGTGACAATGTGACAATAAATAAATCCTTGTATTTTATTGAATAATGGTTATTTTCATTAGTTTTAAAAATTGAATTTTTATTGTACAAAACAATTATTGTAAAAAATAATTGTTAATCAGCAAACATTATATGCTTTGTCTTAGTTACACAATCAATTTTGTGCCAATTCTGAATGAGTTATGTATCTTTAAATTCTGTTTTGAAAGAACTTTAATTTATAATTTTTTATCATTTATTACATAGCTTATTTTTATTTAGTATTTACCATTAAAAAATATTACAAAATCATTTATTTGCTTTTGATTAGTGGAAAATAAAAATTAACTAATTGAATCAAAAATAGATGACTTATTGAATTGTATTAATACTAATGGAAAAAAAAATGATTCTTTTTACTTCCTTCCTTTGTACTACTAAAGTCTTGCCAAATATGTGGGACTTATGCCAACTGTTTCATTTTATAATCCATTAATTTCATTAAATATTTTGATAATGATTATCATCAAGTAGAATGAATAATTCTATATCATCATCTTTCATGTATCTAAATTACTTATGCTTAATAATTATAGTGAAAATAGTATAACAGTAAATAAAAAGTTATAAATATTTTAAATGTTTAATAACTATAATATTTTTGGATTATGTATTAGAATATTATTATTATTATTATTATTAGTTTATTTAGAAAATGCTTAAAATATTTAAATATTTAGTATGCCTGTAGCCTTCAACAGGAAAATCTATACAGTTTCTGATTTATTATAGTTATTTTTACAATTTGATTGATTGAAAATTAACGAAAACTAGGATAAATTTTCAAAATTTATGTTAATCATTCAAAATATGTTAAAATTTACATTTTTTTTTTTTAAATCAAAGTATCAGGGAAACCAAAATTGGTTTGTAAATGCTTTATATGAAATTAAAGTTAGTTTTATTTGCATTTTTGACAATGATAGATTATTTAAGTTAAAAGTAAGTCATTAACCTGCTTAAAGCACGATTAAGAAAATTAGTTTTTTCCTGTTTTTTTACTTTATCAATAGCTGAAAATATGAAAGGTTTAAAGACTGATATTAAAAAATCTGAGAATATATTATTGTAGTTGATAAGTGAATTTTTCTAATTTTTCCCTTTACATTACAATTTAAAAATATTATTTTTGTTCTTATTTATCTCAATTTTACAATAATGAAAACGTCTTCACAAAAATATTTTTATGTTATATAGAGTATTTTGTTGTTTATTCAAATTATTTTTATTTAAGATGAAATTAGGTAATTGTCAATATACTTTTAAATGTTAAGAGTTAACTTTATGTAAAATTTTTAAAAGCTTATTTTAAAATTTAAAGCAATGAAACTCATAAAGTATATTATAAAAACTACTTAGTTTTTGTAATCATAAAGTATATCTTTGTTTTTTGGTTTTTGATTCAAATCTTGCATTAAATATGGATATTTACAATCATGTTTTTAAAACAGAAAAGAAAGCTCATTGCTTCTGTAAATTACACTATTTGTCTATTTAACCAGAACTTAAAAAGAGATGCTAATTCACTATGTGATCTCTAAATTATCACCATTCCTATGAAAAATGAGACTTATGGATCATATGAGTCTTGAGAGACTGCAATAAGCTGACCTATATAGCATAGATGATGTATGAGTGGTTCAGTAGGTAGTAAAATTCTGAGCATGATGAATAAAAAGAAGGATTTATACTGATAAAGGACAGATTGTGGGAGCTTGGAGAGGTGATGTCTCAATTTTCCAAATGACTGAACTGGTTAGTTGTTTGAGAGCCACAATATTTAAGTGTACCAGAACTGGCATTATAATGGTTAAATTGTGACCTGACAGCAAAACTCAAAGAACAGTGAAATGTTGATGTTAAAGATGTGCATTAGGTTTGACAATTTGTAAAAGTAAACAGATATAGCATAGATATGGCTTGCCATACCTCCTGAACAGGCCCGCCGTAAGTGGGCGTGCAAGGCGTGCACCACACGCGGGCGGCACGTCCAGGGGGCGGCAAATCGAGCGATCGGTCACATAATATTCAAAGTCATTGTCACAATACCCACCCTACTTATAGCGTAAGAAATGTTTTCGCATGGAGAAAAAACTCCGACCGGCGCGCAATTACTATATTCTTATTTATATTATAGCGTTAACAGCGCCTCTATTGCCATTTATCAGAATTAAGATGCAATGCGAAACGTCTTTCGGCAGGTTGAGCCATCCGGCAGCGCCCGAAAGCCAAGTACCAATAGTCGTGCTATATGACAGAAGTTGACAGGACTGGCGAAAATAGGGAATCCCCACAGAGCTTCCTTCTCAATTTGTACTTGTACGCATTCGAACAGTTCTATCGCATATCAAATTGCAATTATTTTGTTAATAATTCTTCTGACATGGGTCTAAGTATAATTAATGATATTTTAACTTGGTTAGTATTTAAATCTGAAGCTTAAAGACGATTCAAGTAGTGAAACAGACATTGACGGTATTGATTTGTTTAATGAAATCAATACTTTAAAGTTGCATTTTCCAGAAAACCAGTCTAATGATCCACAAACCCTATTACAATATCTTTTTACTAATGACTTAATTAATTTCAACATTTCCGAACACAGCAATAGCACTAAGAATATTACTTACATTGCCGGTTACAGTTGCATTTGGTGAAAGGTCCTTTTCAAAGTTAAAAATTATAGAAAAACTATTTAAGGTCAACAATGCACCAGCAAAGACTAAGTAATTTAGCTGTAGTTTCAATTGAATATGAAATCATCTTAGACAGCTTGGATACAAGAAAATTGATAGCAGATTTCTCAAACATAAAGGCAAGAAGAGTTCAATTTCTGTAGATAAATATTTATATGGTTTTACACTTAAGTAAACAAAAATAACTTAGTAATAATAAATAGTTTCTTTTTGTAAAGTATTTATTTTCTTTTTTCACACCCTTATGAGACAACACTAAAGAGCCTTTCTGGAAAGCTCAGCGTAGTTAGTTGTAGTTAAACAGGGGGCGGCATAATCGGTATTGCACACGGGCGTTCAAACAGCTAGCAGCGCCCTTGCTCCTGAATGCTTTAGACATCTTGTTAAATCAGTTCTATGTTAGATAGCTGCTATGCTGAGCAATAGTAGATACAAGAGGAGGGCTATAAGCCCCTTCCACTGCCAAAAAAAAATTATAATTTATTTGTTTCAACATCAAAACATTTGTAATGACAAATATGGTTTATCAAACTATTCACAGTGCAATTGTTGTACGCAAATTAATAAAAGATACTACTTGTTAATTAATTATTTAAATATTTTAAATTTTTGAGTTAGTCCTCTTTTGAGTACTTTTAGATCTGACTGGTACAGAAGGCAAAACGAGGTCCTACAAAGTGTTAAGATGGTCACAATTCAGTGATCACTGTGTATAATAAATAAAATAAGTATATTTAAGCTGCATTATTAGAGCAGCTGTTTATAAATATTTGCAATGAAACAGTTTATATCATTCTTTTTTTAAAAAGAATGATATAAACTGTTTTGTAAAAAGAAGCATTTTATTTCTTAATAGAAATAAATAAACGGTATTCTGTATTCATGTTAAAATAAGTAGATTCAGCTGATGCAATCAGAACTTTTCTTCTCACCATGAGTGCATTTTTACATAATGTTCTTTCATTTTCTCTGCTGGTTGAGCCACCCATTGGTTACAATAAAATCTTTTTCTCCTAGTTTTAGCTAATTCTGCCACTTTATGATGTATGTATTTAGAGCTCATTAACAGGTGCATTCTTAACAAAAACATTGCTAAACTAAAGCTTCAAAGCACAGTAAGTAGAAGTTACAGATTTGAGTTCTGCTCTGGCTTTATCTTTTCATCCAGAATATTCTAAATTATAATTTTTTTCTATCTCTAATAATAATTAAATTTAATACAAGATGGCAGCTTAACTACTTATATTCGGTTCAAATTATACAATAGTTTTATAATTAATTAGCCATATTATAGCCTGATTAAAATCCAATGGTATTATATTATTGCAGTATTAGATTGGTGCAAAAAAAAAAAAGATTGTTGTGTTTGTTAAAAATGAAATTACAGTTTAAAAATAATTTTTATCACTCAAAATACATTTAAAAAATTTGGATGTCTTGAATTATCATTTCGTGCAGGCAGAAATCAATGACTATCTTCTGTTGAAAATCATCAATTCCTATCTACATTTCTTATGAAATTGTGCTGTTCTGTACCATCCAAGTATCACATTCTAAGTAAGCACAAAATATATACTTGGGGTTTTCCAGAGTGCTGTGTGTGAATCTTTTGTCTGATTGCCTTGAAATCCAATTGTTTGTTTGTTTTTATTTTTGTTATATGAATTTAAATAAGATCAATTTGTTTTCTTTTCTTCTTTAAAGTAGATTTTTGTTGTCATTCTGTTTTGTTACATTTTCTTTTTCTTATTATAATTCACTTAACATTTTGTGATAAAAATGATAATGGTATGCTAAAAGATCCAAACTCTTAATGTGGTTTTCATTTTAATGTTTGTTGTTGTTGTTGTTTTTTGCCTAGGCAGTTTGGACATATCTGCTAGTATATGTATATAATTTTGATATACACTGATGTTTTCTTGCAGCCTTTTTTTTCTTATACTTTTAGAACAAAAAGATATGAATCAAAAAATAATAATAATTTAATTAACCTAGTTTTTAGTAAAAAATACTCTATTTTGTTCTGACAAGTAAGTACTTTGACTGAAAGAATTGTCATGTTCTGAAGTTGATTTTATAAAGATTCAAAAGATTAAAAATAAATTTTTTCTGGTTTATTATCTAATTCAATTGTTAGAAATTATTAGATAAATTAATTTTTTATATAATAAAATAACTGAATTTCTATTTCATTTAAACTTAGAAATGTGTTTTTATTTTTAAATATTAATTAATTGCCATTTTCTTTGTTTTACAGAGAACACTTGGGAGATATTTTGATGTCACTTTTGCAACAGCAAAACTTTCTCCAACTTTTATTAGCAAGGTAAATTGATTGAGTTGTTTATTAATATTTAAAAATTTTGGAAAATTATGTTAAAACTTAATTTTAATTAGCTTTTCCAATGCAAATTATTTTTGAAATTTATTCCAGTATTGAACTCTTTTTCAAATAAAATACTTGAGAATTAGTGTAAACTAAGTAGTATTTATAAAATTAATTGTTTCTGTATGATACTACTAATTATTTTTGAAATTTATTTTATCAAATATTCCTTAGTCTGTTATTTATAGCTATTTTATTTTACTACTTCAATTTATTTTAGCTGTTTTTGATGTTTAGATACTTTGTTGTTCTACTCTATAGTCACATTAGTTTCAATGATTTCTTTGCTACTAACAAGTGCTAAACTTTGTGGGCTGCAATTTNTTAAGTTTGGTTCATATATTGTATTTAATATATAAATAAGATTATCCAAAAGAATGAAACAAAATGATAAAGCATAAAAGTAGTTAATAAAAAAATTAAATTAACTTTATTGTTTAAATAAAATCATGGAGAAACCAGAACACTTTTAAACAAAACTTAAGGGTATGATGAATAGTTCATTGACTTTGACCTATTTAATTAATTAGGATTTAGATTTCTTTTTTAATCATTTGATAATCATTTCTTCACTTATTCTCATTCTTATAAAAATGTGCAGAAATCTGAAAATAATTTTTATGCTTTTGAAGAAATAAAAAACAAAGTAAAAAGATATAAAACAAAGATTGTTCTGCATTGACTGAAAGTTTTTATATTGTAATTATTTGCTTTTTCTTCTTTATTAATATATTTTGCATCAATAGAGTTTTCTTATACATGCTACTGATGTATTACTTTTAACATGTATGTTGTTTAGTCAGTTGGATGTAACTACCTGTTAGATACCTTAGCCGTGCTGCTTAGTTGCTTTCCTGCCTTTGTACACATATAGCAATTTTTAATATTAATAAAACAGATTGAAGTTGTTATAAGTAGACAGCAGATTTTAGGCAAATGCCTATTTTTTCCCTTTGCATATACATGGCTAGGATTTTGTATGAACACTTTTCATGAACATTTAGACCGAAACAATGGTATTTTATAATGCCTAAAAATGTTTATTTTGACATTGCTGCCTATTTTTGCCTAAAAAACAAAGTTTAGTTTGTTTTCATATTTTTAAAAAGTTTTTACTAATTTTTCGTTTCATTTTCTGCAAAGATTTACTTTAATTCTTAAATTAAACTGCTTAAGTTTCATTTTTCTTCTGAAAATGCAATCAGACAAATTCATTTTTTTAAAAATTATTATTGATTATTTATATTTAAATCCCAGTGAATGCATATCCCAAGCAGAAAAAATTAGAATGCAATAATAACAGAAATAAATTACACCCCTTGACACAATTTTATAGTAATAAAGTTAAAAATATACGAAATATTTTAAAATAAATGCTTTTATTTAATAAATATAGCATTAGAGATGCTTTATTTGTCATTTTTAGACAGCAGATTTTAGGCAAATGCCTATTTTTCCCTTAGCATATACATGACTAAGATTTTGTACTAACTACTATGGTGAACATTTCTTTGATATCAAAAAACTTCTGGCCACTTTACTGGATGATGCAGTTTGTGTAACTAAAGCCAAGAAAATTTTGAATGACATTTATGTTCAGAACAAGTTGGTGTACATCGAGTGTTATTTCACATTCATTGCAGATACTATTACTGCTCTCGAAAGTAGCGGGAAACCTATATATGAACAAATTGATCTCCTCAACAGAGCAACCAGAAACCTTGTGATGCACCAGGCACTGCTGCAAAACAAGTAAAGAAAGAGTGCTTCAAAAGAGACTTAGATTAAAGTGCTTGTTTGTTATGGCTGATATTTTGGCAGGAAAGAAGAGCAAAATGGAAAGTAAATTCCCAGTTCTTCTTCCAAGGTTGAAATACTGTCCATTATCTTCAGATGTGAAATGCTTTTTCTCTGCATATAAATTAATTCTCAGTGACAAATGTTGTAACTTTTCTATTGAAAATTTGGAAAAAGTGCTTGTAATATATTATGAAGCTAACTATGGGAAACAGAGCAAATAAAAAATGTAAAGATAATTGTTTGCCTACTTTTGTGGGTGCATCATTCTGAATACATGCATTTTTGTTTGGAATACATACGTTAAATAAAAAATTCATCATCCTGATAAGTAGGTTAATTGTTCATTGTGCAAATTTTGACCACCTATTTTTTGTTTATAAAGCCTAAACGATGCAATTTAAGAGCTTATTTTAAGCGCCTAAAATGCCACTTTTAAGTGCCTAGATGTCCACTGTCTAGTTATAAGTAAATAGTTAAAATATGTTTTGCTAGAACTTTTATTTTTTTATAAGGAAAATAAATAACTAAATTTTATATGCAAATATAAATGTAAACTGAATTTGTTTTTTAAAATTTAAGTCTATTAAAATTTTAGTTTTTTGTAAAATTCTTAAGTAAAATTGTAAAGAACATTTATTATATTTATTAATTAGAAATTCCATTGTATGAAACAATATTATTTAATTTGGTGATGGCCAACTGGTACCTCAGAGGCAAAATCCAGCAACCTTTTGAGCCATTTCTTATGGTCTGCATAGTGGGTCTGTTTTTCAGTTAGAACATGCTGGTAGGCCATACTAGCAGATAACAAAAAAGTATTGATATGTGAGAAACCAGATTAGTATTTTTTTGTAAATTAAAAAGGAGAATTATTTTGTTTTAACAAATTCAACAGAGAAACTTTGCAAGATTTTCCCACCAATAACACGTTCTTCATGAGTGACACATTCCAATAAAAACTACTCAGTGAAGGAAGTCTCACAAAAATCAGAAATTGGACTAACCACTAACTCCCTGCATGATCTTACTAAATTTGGTCATCAAAATAGCAGGGGGAATAACCTCAAATAAAAAAAGGGGGAAATAGAGAGTTCGCCTATCTATTTTTTGAAGTGTGTGCTCATCCCCACCAAACTCCACCGCCAATCACCCACTCTTTCCACTGGACCTTGGCCACTTTGAACTAATGAACAATTGATTGGACAAAAACCATTGTGGATTTTATTCTTATGAACTTTGGGATTCGAGACTCTTTACTAAGACTCATCATACAGTAACTAAGCGAGAGACCCTCCTTCCCCTCTCCAGGATGTCCAAGCCATCTGGCAATCATCATAAAATCCTGTTATTTATCAACTCATGTATGCAATTTTAATCACTCTCTCTCATTTTGATGCACATTAAGACTCTCCTTTTTATTTTGATTTTCTTTATAAATTTTTTTTCCAGTTAAATGTGTATTGGAGTGCATTATTTCTGGTGCACTGTCTCTTGACTTCCTCCTCCATATCAAAGCTGTTCATTCCTTCATATGTGACCACTTGCGTGATAATTATTGGAAGGTTCCTGTGTGCCAAAAGTCACAGGTGGCGTCAGTCCTAACTTGGGAATTGCTAATATAGCCGTCACAGTGCCACTTAACGGTTATTTGTGACCGTTAAGTGGCACTATGTAATATTGGCAATTGTTCAGTAAGAAAATTTGTATATATTCATATGAGAAGTTTGGATGACTACTGGCATGAATTTTATCATGTCAGTAGTCATCCAAACTGGACCAATTGGAACTGATGTAAAAAGCAAATGGAATGAGAACTTCCCTTTTCAATGGAAGCCATCTTTCTATGAACAGATAATACTGTCTGGTAATTCTGTTTCTGCTGTTTCTTGTCAAGAAGCAAGATATGGAATCTGCTAATGATAATATTTTGAAAGGGAAAAGTAAACTTGGGTACTAAAAGGACATCATTTAGCAACTGACACTTCTATAAATTTAAAACTAGAAATAAGGAAGAAAGTGCAGACGAATTTAGAAAATATTGTAAACACTATAATATAAATATATACTGTATTTTGACGAGTATAAGTCGCACTTTTTTTACTACTTTTTGGGACTCAAAATCATGGTTCATCTTATACTCGACAGGTAACCATTTTTACAGTGAAATTATCTACAGTAGTGATCCACTCTAGGGACCAACCTGTGCAGTGGTCCGTTAAGTAGATGGTTCCTCAACCGAATGGCTAGAGTACCTAGATTATCAGAGTACCGACACACGAGTCATCGCAGCCATGTTCTGTCAACTGTCATCACATGACCTCTGAGTTTACATTAAGAAGTAATGATTATTTCAGTTTAATAAAGCATTTTATTTGTTTTTTTATTCAAGAATATGAGGATGGATGAATTGATAGACTGAAATAATTGTCATGGATGGTACAGAAGATGAGGCAATCTATGAAGATTCTGATGATGATAATTCAGTCAATACTTCAGGAATTCAAGAAGAAAGGGATGATAAATCAGTCATTAATGACGTCATAGATGTGTTCCTAATGGGTGTAATTTACCGATAGCAGTGATTCAGTTGAAGAATTTCTTGGCCATTATGATTAATAAAATGCATCTTTGGACAATTCCATTAAAAAAGTTTTTTTCTAAATTTTTTGTCTCAAAATAGGGGTGCGTCTTATACTTGACAGCGACTTATACTCGTCAAAATACAGTACATTTATAAAGAAAAAATAATAGTACTAAATGCTACTTTTTAGTCATTGTTATATTTTCTTAAAACAGAACTTTATTTTTAGTCATGTTATAAGTATATCAGCAGTTATTTTTTTTAGAAAAAGAACATCAGTCTAAGCAAAGGTGCGGAATATGTCTAATTATATGAATAATGATCAAAGGAAATGAAAGCAGTTTTGGGGAAATTTGCAGTAAAAATAATAATAATACAGCAATAACTGCAAAAACATTACAGTAAAATGAAGTATCATCTCAGATAACTGTATAGACATTAGTTGAGAAACTGAAGAAGGAAATTTGTTTCTATTTCTGAATTCTTTTTGACACTATTTAATGGGTGAAATTTCATGTCAACTCAAATTAAAATAAAATATTCACTTGTTCCAGACACA